GGCATTGCGAGACTACACAGCTGACCAATCACAGAGCTTACAGTCCGCTACGACTCGACACGTAGTTACATTTTTGAGCAGGTGCACATCAAGCGACGGCGTAGCCTCTGCGTAGCCCCGTAGCCTACGCCGTCGATTTGACGTAGAAGTATAAATTGCAGGCCTGGTGGCTATTCCGCCAGTGTATGGATGAGTGTGAATGTTAGTTTTTGTTTGAGCACTTAGGCTCAGTGAATGTAGTGTAAAAGCGCTTTGAGTAGTCGAAAAGACTAGAAAGACGCTATACAAATACGGATTATTATTGGTCAACCATAGGTGTGGAAAGCACGTAACAACCCGCCCCTAACGTGGGTCATCAAATAACCCGGCGCTGAATCGAGCGGACTGTGGGAATACGTTTGTTGTAGTTCAAAATGAGTGAGATAAGTGGTTGTAGTAAAGGCGTCTTCACTGAGACATGTGCCTTCTATTCAAAAGGAGCCAGGAAGAGAATCAGGGTGAAGAAGTTGTGGAAGATGACGAACAAGCTAACCAGGGACCCGAGGAGCAAGTGTTAGCAGCACACCGTAACATCAAGCCCAGGCTAGCAGTGCGGCCATACGGTCTGTGAGCGCAGCGCAACCTGAGGCTAGCTGTAGCAGCAGCGCACAGTGGATTTATCAGCTGTCTGACCCGGTGTTGGGGGGAAAGTGGAAATATCCAGCCTCAGCCCGTGATGGGGTTCGAGGGGTAAGGTGCGCGCCCTCACCAATGATCTGCCGTGTTGAGAGAGTGGATCCCCTATTCGCTTTGCCTATACTTCCATCCATCCATCATCAACCACTTATCCTGCGCACAGGGTCGCAGGGGACCGGAGCCAATCCCAGCTGACATCAGGCAAAAGGCGGGGTACACCCTGGACAGGTCGCCAGTCCATCGCAGAGCCACATAGACAAACAACCAGTCACTCTCACACCTAAGGACAATTTAGGGTCACCAATTAACCTAGTCTACATGTCTCTGCACGGTGGGAGGAAGCCGGAGCATCGATCAAGAGAGACCGGGATTTGAACCCGCAACCTTCTTGCTGTGAGGCTACAGCGCTAAACACCGCACCACCGTGCTGCCCGACTTTATGTTGTATTCAAGAAAAATCTATATTTGTTGGTGTTTTTCGATCATGTGCGTGAGAAAAGCAAAGAACACTGTTGTTACATGTTAGCACTGCTTCGGAGCTCATCTGTCACTGGGAATTAAACTAGTGCAACAGTTGGAGGGAAAGAAGCGGGAGGAGGTTGAGCGGGTTGTCATAAAGTTTTTAAGTGAAAGAGGGCTGCCTTTACGTGGCGACAATGAAGTAGCCTATTTACTGTATGTGCGTTTGTGTGTGAAGTATGGAAGAATTCATAGAACTGGATTAGAGGTGAGGCAGTATGTGTTTGCATGATGTGATTTACAGTAAGCAGGGACATGTATTGATATTGTGGTCCAGGAAAGCATTGCTGCAGTCATGTGGTGTAAATCCTGTAGGATGGAGGATGTGTACAAGTGTTAATCAGTGTAAATCCTGTAGAACCCGGTCTAATGGGTTTTGTGGGGGCAGATGCCGATATTAAAGTGAAAAAAGAGCCAATTTATAAACTGATATTTTGAAAATGATTTGGATAGTAGACCCGTTTCCTGTATAACCTACTAACCAATATTGAAAGCTGTTCTATATGTGGGCTATAAAATCTTTTCCTAAATGGATTATGTTAAAATTGCCTAAGATTACAGTCTCAACAACTGAACATGTGAACAACTGCACATCAATAAATATTTGCTGCTGGAAAGTGCAGAGAGAGAAAAGTAGGTGTATTTGACCTTAAATCTGCCATATTAACTATTTTCTATGTAGCATATTCACATCTAGTTTATCCCCTTACCATCCCTCCTAAATTCTATCCAAAGTCATGAGAAACCATTTCTCAACCACTACAACTTCAAGAAAACAGTTATATAACTCAGTAAATTCACAAACATGCAAGCATGCACAGGTTCAACACAATTCAACTCTGGCAGTGGGCAGGCGTGTGTGAAAGGAGCATGACCACAACATTTTTGTTGCGTTTTCTTTTAAAATGGTATAAAAGAATATGACCTTATATGTTAATGACAAACTTGGTGTTTAAATTAAAGTTGTCCGCACCTTGTGGGACTTTCGGATAATTGAAAGTCCCACAAGGTGCTGATGAACCAGTTGATGAACCACACAAAGAATATTTTATCGTTTTTAAACAGCCGGCTATTTGAAATAGACCCGGGAGGAACCGCAACGTGCATGCAGTTGTCGGCAGCACGGCATGCACGCAAAACTCTGCACAAGACCGGTGAATATCAGGCGGGAATTTACAGTGTAATTTGAATGAATAGAGAGCGCAGCTCTGCAGCTTCTCAAGATTAAGGCGATGATTGGACTATCAGTCGTCTATAGGCAGGACTTAACGATTCTGATTCGACTATGTAAATCCTTAGTCAGGACAGCCCTAGTCTCCAGTCAAACCAGTACTTCATTCAATACTTTTTGTAACCAGATTGCGCAAAAAATGACTATTTGTATGGTTTTGCTTGCAGCCAAACACGCAGGCAACACATTGGAAGAGATAAGCATAATCGCTCACCTTCGGCTTCAGTCTCAGGCATGTTCGTCACTGTTGCAAGTTGATCACCATAAACTTGGCTTTCCATTGCTTGGCTTTTGTGGCACAGCAGCGATCATTTGATTTTACTCACGGCTGCAGCTGCGGCTGCTTCAGGTGTAGTTTGATCGGCTGGACGTGCAGATTCTCTTTCCCTCTATTTGTGTCTTTAGTGTAGTTTAGTGACTTTTTCAAACAGACGCCTTTCTCGTTTTAAGAGGTTTGCAGCTTACCAATAAATGGAAAAGCACTCCCGAGATCTTTTAATTCAGTCTGTTGATCAAAAGTTAACAAAATAATTTAGTTTACTTTTGTAGCCCACCTCACTCAACTCGAATTTTGTCTTAGGGTCATGCCATATCAAGCATCTTCACATCAGATTACCTTTGCATGGGAGATGAAATGGTGAGAGCTACGCAAAATTTCTCAGTGGGACTATGTCTACTTTAACAACATGCACTTCAGGTATCTGACTCTGACTAGGTTGCAAAGAGGCCGAACGAGCTTAATGCATAGCTATATTGTTACTGTGAGCTGGAACTCCCATGCACTCTTTAGCCCTTATTTCAACACATTATCCTTACATGAATGAACATTAATCAAACCACAGTGATTGATCGCAATATTAATTCACCTTTATTACCTTTGAAAAAAAAATGGCTTGGTGACTCAAAACAATAAACGTAAATGGTAAAGTAAAGTAATAAAACCCAGGATTTTTCTTTACTCAGTTCTCTGTTGGTACCATATATGTTGGCGCGCTGTTGGAGCTCAGTTAAACCTTGCAAATAATGTCTGTAATGTCACTCACGGTTCCTTAGGAAACCCTGAAAGTTGGGACTTCTTCTTCACCTCTCTCTCTCGCTCTCAGACCGTCACTCGGTGTTTTGTTTTTCTCTTCCGCTCAAACTCCCTTTTAGGACCCGATAGGTTGCCAACAACATCTCTAAGTAATCACTGATTTGCTAATAACAGACTGACACCTGACTGTCGAATAAACATCCAACTATATGGACTTGAGAGATTCAAGAGCTACATAGAAAATTGGACATTTCAACATCTTACCAACTTTTAATTACTCCATATTAATGCACATGTTAAAATTATTACACAGTAAATGGTAAATTTAACCAGTCCATGTCTCAATTTACCCTGTACATTTGTTTCTGAAGTAAACATTATATAAACCAAACTAGCAGGGTTCTACACTTTCAACACACGTATCAAAAAACGACCTTAAATTCATTCCCCACAACTTATTTGCTCACTATTTCATTCTTCCTCTCTCATTCAAATATAAAAAAAATTTGCAAGCTGTAGTCTTTCCCCTATAATACTACCCCTGAGGATGAATTAATTAGGATGAAAAGGGATCTGATACAATTTCCCAATACTTTTATGCAACTGTTATTTGAAACAAGAAAAAAAAAAAAATAGATAACATTGTTTGTCCATAACAACAATAAAAATAATGATAGGCTACCATTCAATTATTTTGGTACATGTATTAATCAGTGTGCAAGGTCACTGATTAATACATGTACCAAAATACAAGAGGGCACGTGATTTTGTCACACTCTTTTATATTTTGGTACAAGTATTAATCAATGACCTTGCAAGTCAGTGCTTGTCTGGAGCCCTGAAGTTATTGGTGGGTAAAATAATTTTTTAATTTTTTCAGCTGGAGAGACTTAGTGGCCAGTTCCTACACGTCCTGAAAATTGTTCTCTTAATCAGCTTCCTACTATGAGGGATTTGGTCCCATAAACACATCATGTTCTGCCAAAGTTGGAAAACTCTTGCCCAGATGCCCCGAAAGGACGCATGCATGGGTGTTATGATTAGGCCTTGCCTCCTTCTACTTCCTAGTGTTCTCCGTGTGTTTCCCTCCCCTGCTGTCTCTGTCTGTCTTGTTTGTCATGTGCTCTGTGTGTGTTTGTGTGTTCATGGGCGTGTCCGATCCTGGCTCCTCTCCACCTGCAGCGTCTCACACCTGCGGCTCATCGAGTAATCAACCCGTGCAGTCAAATACTCCGGTTCAGCCCCCACTCTTCACCAGTTCGTCAGTTTACCTCCCGTGGTAAATTGCTCTGGCCAAATTCTTTGCATCTCTGTATTTTTGGATGTTGTTTATGAAACTTGCCTAACGTCCCGTTTTTGTCCACCTCAGTATCCACCCGAGCCCCGAGACGCTGCCCACCTGTCTACCTGTACCCTGCCTGTCAGCCTGCCAAGCCACTCTGCCCTGAACAGAACCGAAGGATGCCATTACCAAGCCCCGCGCTAAACCATTCGTTCCCTTTTCTGCACTGTTAATAATAAATCAGATTGTGTGTTTTACATCTAATTTGTGTCCGCTTCTGAATCCTCCAGTGAACCCTTGACAATGGGGAGAAAAGAACAGGACATAGGATCATTTAGGAACCCTACAGAGCATTATAGCTGAGGATGGTAACCTGCCAGTATTTACTGAAAAGGTTAGTTAGAGGCTTTCCCATTAATACCAACTACATCATGAAGATTGCATGATCTACTGGATCAAAACTGAGGTACGGTTCAATTGAAGTAAGAAAGCAGCCATGTGAATCCAGGACCAAGAAAAGGTGGTTTTTCAGGTATTAAAGGACATGAAGAGGGCTAAATCAGTGCTGTACGAAGCCTAAACCCAGACTGAAATTCATTAAAAATAATGTGTCCCCTATGGGAGCAGCTAAGAGAAAATTATTTTCTCAAGAACTGAAGTTAAAATTAATTAGAAGTTAATGGCTTAAAATATTAAATGTTGATCCAACTGCCACTCTGAGTAAAAAGTGGACTGATTTAGAGGATCTAATTTTCTTTTGCTACCTAACTCATAAAGCACTAAACTGATTACAATGACATAAAACAGTGAGGGAAAGCAGGAAATGAGCCAGAAACTGCAATAATGATCTAATTCCTCAAACAAATTTCCAAAATGATGCTCAGCCCACTTAAAAGAGGACAGACGTGTGTGTGTGTGTGTGTGTGTGTGTGTGTGTGTGTGTGTGTGTGTGTGTGTGTGTGTGATGGAGAGAAAATAAAAAAAATGATGGCAGGATGACACAGCGAAGGCCTGCATCTGGCTGTCTGAGATTTTGTGAAATGTGACGGGATGAAAGAATGTGTTTGTGTGAAACAGAGTAACAGAATGTGAGAGATGCAGCCTCTAAGATAAAAGTGCTACAGTTTGTTGTCTGTGGTCCAAACTCTCATTACAACAGAAGCAGCTCTTATCTGACCCAGTCAGCAACTTTCTGCCAGATCCTGACGGTACCTGATAAGGAGTGTGTATTTGGAAGTAGCAGTTGTGCACTGCATATCAAATACTACAGACGCTTTCCACTGCTCTAATTTCTGTTGCCTGGTGGCCTGAAATATATCATCAGACTATAATTATATATTTTTGTTTAAAGAGTAACTTATTTGTCAACGTTTTTCGTGTCTATGTGAAAAATTGGAACAACATTTTTTAAAATTAGTTCAGTGTTGAGCGGCAGTGAAACAGGGCTGTAACACTTGTTTTTGCCACTGACAGGCTCAGATTGTTATTACAAGTGGCTGACAAGATTGTGGAAAGATCCATAATGAAAGATGTTATTGTGTGAAGGGTTAAAAACACTTAAGTCACACAATAACACAAACTAACAGATCGAGGCAGCGGTAGACCAGAGACGTAAAATTACTTTTGTCAAGGGAGTCAGAGGTTTTGGTGAAAGTTAAATGTGTGTTCTGTCAGCTAGCTTAATGTAAATTCCAAAAACTAGGGCTGCTCGATTATGGCAAAAATCATTATTTCACGATTATTTTGGTCAGGTCAGGATTATTTCCTGCAAACTCAGAAGGGATGAGAAAGGTTTGAACAACTTTTTGCATTTATTTTTGCAGAATGGAACATTAACCTAAAAAATAAATAGGCAAGCTGAAAACCACCTCCCTTCAGTATTATTACCAAGCATTGATAAGAGTTTATTTTAATGATATTGTAATATTTTAGAAGTGGCGCTCATTCATTCAGCAGCCCTCTATCCTCCATATTTGTTTATTCTGAATGCAGATTTCTTCCCTGGATCTGGCATTTTGCCCTAAAGTGTGGAATTTGTGACACAACGCAAAAAAAAATGATAGAGCATGATTTTAAATGATAGACCTACACGTTTTTCTACGGTCAAAATGATATATAGATACATATATTGTCACATTGCACAGCCCAAGAACGAAACACATGGGCTTAGTAGCTTCAGTGACCCCGGGGTAGCTTGTGGCGAGAGAAAATCATGACACCAAAGACTTTAGGCTCTGTAGTGTTTCTACTTTCGTATTTTCAGTTTTATCAATTTTCATCAGCGCCTTTCTGATCTCTCGCCGTCGACTACCTACATGTTTTTTTTCCGAAACACCCATAGTGGACCACAAGAAGGGGAGGGACTCATGTTCACATCTGCATTCTTTGACAGCTGTAGAAAACAATTTTCACACAATATTTTTCCTACCTTTTCCTGTGACAGATTATCATGAAAATTACACTCTTTTTCTTTTTTTTTTTTACCTCTCACACACACACAGCAAGCATGTGGTGCCAGTTCCTGTCTTTAGACCCCAGCTGTGGAGCTGCCTGTCCTCTCCAACCAGCTGTCGATCACTCTTTCCATCACTGTCATTCTTACAGACACTCACACATGCACACACACAGTGAAAATACATTGGACAGCAAGGGTGTTAGTATGTAGTAAGTCCACAGAGGAGAACCAACACTACATGTTTTTGCCTGTTGTGTCAATGCACTGACATGCATGTAGTCTGCACTGTGAGACTTGTGATTTTCATGTTAGACTCAGTGCTCAATACAATACTGAGATGCACTCAATCTTAAAGTGCTCAGGGCGGGACCCATGACATTACAGATAAGTAAAAGCAACATACTAAATAGCATACTGAAGTAAGTTGGTTTTCAGAATCAGAATCAGGTTTATCGCCAGGTACATTTTCACATACGAGGAATTTGCCTTGGTATGAATTGGTGCTTAAAGTACACATAACATAAATAGCAATATAAATATACAAGTATACAAAAATATAAAAAGATACAATAATACTATAATACAAAGCTGACAAGTATGTGCAAAAGTTGGCAACATGAGCAGTGGTACTCACAGGTGGCCTGGGAATTATACATTGAACCAGCTTGAGTATTTTTAAGTCCATCAGTTAAAAAGAACAGCATATGATACACTGGAGGCATGCTTACAAATGCCACCTAACACCATAAAAATCAGGTTGAAAGAGTGTAAGTATTGTTACGTTTCTGTTCATTCCTCGGAATAAATCAGGGCATATTCAGAGGTTTTATTTTTTTAATCCCCAAAAAGTGGATTAAACCCAGTGTTAAGTCTTGGCAGGTTGATATGAGGATTAGAAAAGAAAAAGAACATATGTGTCACATTTGTCATTATACCGAAGCGCCTCCATCTGTTTTGCTACAGTATTATCAACAATATTTTCAACTTTATTCTTCCACACATTTTTTTCACAAGTTTATGTATTTTTTCTAGTGATTCTGGGACAGTCATGATAAATGGTAGAGGTGCAACGGATCACAAAACTCACAGTTCTGATCGCACCATGGTTTTGAGTCACAGATCGGATCATTTTTTGGATCAGCAAAAAAAAGGTTAGTGTAAAATTAATTTTAAAATGTGTCTGTGAAGATTCTCAGTCATCCAGGTCATTGTTATCCAAAGAAGGTTAAAGTCAAGGGCAACTTTTCTAGTATCTTCAACCAAGTCCAGTTGCCCTTGACTTTTTTAAAATGTGCTACTTTCGTTTTGATGTCGCCACCTCTCTGTGTCTGTAGTTGCCGCTCTGTTGTCTTTACTTAATGTCCCGCCCGCAGCACGATCTGATTGGTTACATGCAATAGCCTTTCATCACTGAAGGCTGCTGTGCTACAGATGAGCAAAGAGACCGAGCTGCGCCGGTGAGCAAGCAGAGCTGTGTGTCGAAGGGAAGCCAGCAGACATTACTGAAGCAGCAATAAACATCACAATCGTATGATCTATTTCTATGATGAAAAGCAGCCCGGTTTGCCACCAATGAAACTGCCTTAAGATGTTTTACTATGTGTTCACTCACCTTCCGGCTCTAGTTCTCTCTCTCGTGTAACTGTCCTTGTTAGGGAGACGACAGACTGATGAGGGAGAGACAGTAGCTCAGGCATCAGGCAAGCAGATATCAGTAGATAGAATAAGGTGGAATCTTCTAAGAATTTTTTTAAAGACCTTACTAGCTCCACAGATTAGACTGCAACTCATTAGAGTCTAAACATCATACAGATTTGTTGTTCGGGTTAGTGAAGCTGTAAAGATGACCTATGAGGAAAACCTACAAGCAATAGGAGGAAGACAGAAACATAAAAAGGACCTAAAGATGTTTTCCTTCAGTTGTGGTGTGGGCAATTTACACGTTGGATGCTGACACTGTATCTCCTCGGCAGAGTCTCATTAAACCTTGCTATGTTTTTTTTAATGAAAGCATCTCAAAATTCATCGTCAAAATTGTGTGCAAATATTTTTTGGTTTCTTTACTCCTCCATGACAGTAAACTGAATATGTTTCTTTCCTACAGTGATCAACATTTTTTATAGACCAAACAACTAATCAATTAATTGATAAAATAATAGACAGATCATTTTACAATGAGAATGATCATTAGTTGCAGCTTTATCAATTTGTCAAATATTTTTCCCCCAACAACCATTTGATCAATAGTATGTTGATAGTTGTGTTAGGAAGACAATGAGAATACTTCGGCAACTCATATTTCTGTGACTTCGCATCCAACATATGGGAGGAAAATGGGGAGTATGGGAGTGATGTCTACTCCCAGATAAAAGACTATTTGTGCACTGTCAGCACATTTACCATAATTAACACATAAGATGCCGCTCTTATAATGACAACAAGTCACTTTGGATAAAAGCGTCTGCCAAATGAGTAAATGTAAACAAAATGTAGACAAGAAAGCAATGGCAAAACAAATGTGCTGTACTTCTTATCACGCATGACACACTGAACTGTAGATTCATTGAGGGCTGTGGCAATTAATCAATGTACGTCATTGAAAATACGTCTAAAGTTTGTGAGTATTTTTTAAAATATTTTTATGTTTCTATCCAGGGAGTGTGGACATTGTGGAGAATTACAAGTACCTGCGAGTGCACATGGACAATGAACTGGACTGGGCCATGAACACCCAAGCCCTCCCAGGAAGGGCCAAAGCAGTCTCTTTTTTCTGAGGAGGCTGAGGTCCTTCAACATCTGCCTGAC